AAGTGGAGAATAATCTTTCAATGATGAGTCAAATATGGATGGGATAGGTAATCTTCAAAGGTTTGCTGGCAATTACAACTGTGTAGCAAATATCAAGTTAAAATAATTTTAAATAATTTCTTTTAAAATATGCAACAGAGCTCTGTACAGATGAAGTATATTCCTCATCAACAGTTTACAGTCACCAATAATGTCACTACCACACATTCAACAATATATTATTTTATGAATTAATCTGTTTAAGGCTAGTTTGAAATATAGAATAACTAAAATCTAAAGATTTTTATAGTACATTGAAATATGGACTTTTTAAAAAATAAATTTCCTAACTCTAAATCAAAGATTAGATTTAATAATCATAAATGCAGAGGTAAGTCAGATATATATGTTACTGCTCCCTGTTTCTGTTGAAGTGTTATTTTATGCATTTTCTATGATCTATGATGGACCAGGTTATATTGCTGTGCTTAATGTTGTGCGAAATTAGCCTGTGCGTGTGTGTGTGTTCTATGCCTGTTGATACACAAGCACATAACAAGTCGTGTGACACAGTCATCGTGACCATGTGTATGCACATAAATACTGTAGGTGTGCACTAATTAAATCTCCTCCTACTGGATTGAAAAGCTCAGTTGTTAGGCCCAGATGGTTATGCAAAGCCAAAAAGGTGACTCTTTGGAGGCGCACCATAATTATCTGAAACATGGGGGAAAACACACACACACAAAAACCCCAGCAGAATATACTATCATGTTATAATATCATGTTGTAGCTACATCCAAATTAGATGTTTAATTGGAGAAAAAACAAACACTCAACACATCATGCACTCTTTTACCTGAATGACGCGTACAAGTGTCTCAGGGTATTTCTTAAACACTGACTCGAAGGCTGAAGCAGGTAAGCGTAAGATGGTGGATCGAGTTGCAGCTCGTGCCGACACAGTTTTATATGGAGCTGGATAACCCTGGCAAAATCGAAGATAACAATCAGAGAAATCTCCTCCACATCTTTCACAGCTATCTATTTGGAACTGTCCTCTAAGTAATAAATTGGGCTAAGGATACTTTCCCTAAGGTTTATTACGTGACCTGTACGTGTACCTGTGCTTGCAGCATTTTAATGTGGCCTAAATAACTGTCAACACTTCAAAGCTCTATAACACAAGTGTGATAGTGTTTAAATGGTTTCTATGCAATGGCAACAAAGTAACAAGATATGAAAAAGTTATTCTATTGTAATAACTGATTTTTCTATACATTACATACGTGGTTTGAGTTCATTACTGCACAATCAGTTCCAAACAACATCAATCTGAGTGTGTGAAAAGGATGACAATGATGTATTTTAAGAAGAGAAAAACAAAGTCGAAAAGATGCAGCTTTAAAAAAAAACAAATTACAGCAAATACAAAGTACATTACTTTTGTTTCAGGGGCATGAAGGTAATGAATAAACAAATCAAACTGACACAGACACTTCAGAAGGCAAATGAGGACATAACCTAGAGAGAGAAAAAACAGGAGCTCACAGTGATGGTGTCCAGAATACTGAGCAGGCTGTGGACGCTGTCTCCGGGGAGGACATCCTTCACCACTGATTCTGTGCCATCCTGCAATATAAAAAAGAAGAATACAGGACATGATGTCAACAAAATAATATTAATAAGGTAAAAAATATTTCACACTTTCTAAACAAATCTGCAGACATCTAGTTGGATGAAAGTAGGACTTCAGCTAAGTGGACATGATTAGAATTTAAGCAAGCCAACAACATATTGGGATGCCACTCACTTGTTGTGATAGCAAAAAATTAAGTAGTTACTATTTATTCTACTGTCCTCTGGTGTTCATGCTTTATCATTAGACGTAAACACTGAAACTGGAAAATAGAAAAGAACACTGAAAATGAATGTAAATTAAATTAGGTACAGTTTTCAGTTGACCTTGCATTACACTTATTAAATGACCAGTGGACACAGCTGTTGACATGGAAATACAATATAAAGCAATTAAGTTTCAAGATTAGCCTGAAGAGAGAGTCAGATGCAGATCAACATGTCATTTACATACAGTCCCGATCAAATGTTTAAGACCACTTGAAAAATGGCAAAAAAAAAAAAAAAATCATATATTTTAAGTTACTGTCAAAGATGCTGTCTGTGTGTCTGTTTAAAGTTCAAAATTAAAAATGCACAGGGGGTTGCTTTAAATCGTGAAAAAAAAAAAAAAAATCATATATTGCATGGATGGATCTTAACAAGGTTCCAAGCAGAGCTTCAACATGCAACAAGAAGAAATGGGAGTGAGACAAATCATTTTTTACAGCATGTAATTTATTGAAAACAACGCTTAAACTGAAACAGGCTGTTTTACAGCTGATCAAAGGTTTAGGACCACACCTTCAAAAAAAACCTGTAAACCCCACCAAAACAGAAATCAAAGTTCCAAACATGAACTCAGTAATGAGTAGCTCCAAGTAGTAGAGTAGCACATTATTGTTGATCTCTTCAAAAATTTGTTGCGGCATGCTTGATTCAAGCGCTTCCATGGGGTGAGTGGGAACATTTCTCCAAGTGGTGAAGACGGACGCACGAAGTGCACCTACTGTCTGAAACTGTTGTCCATTTTTATAAACTTCCCTTGCCTTCCATCCCCAAAGGTTCTTAATTGGGTTTAGATCAGGGGAACACACAGGATGATCCAAAAGAGTGATGTTATTCTCCTGGAAGAAGTCCCTTGTCCTGTGGGCATTATGTACTGAAAAACCCAGTCCTTACCACACAGACGAGGTCCCTCAGTCTTGAGGGATGCTCTCTGCAACATCTGGACATTGCCAGCAGCCATTTGACGCCCCCGCACCTCCTGAGCTCCACTGAAGGAAACAGCACCTCAGACCATTATAGCGTCCCCTGCATCTCAGGTGGGATCTGTCATGACAGTAACGCTGAAAAACCAACAGGACCATCAAGGTTAAATTTTTTCTCATCAGAGAATAAAACTTTCTTCCACCTTTCCATGTCCCATGTTTGGTGCTCTGTTGAAAAGTCCAAACAGTTAGTTCTGTGGATCAAGGAGACGGGACCTTTGAAGACGGGTTTTGTTTTTGAAGCCCTTCAGTCTCAGATGCCGCTAATGGTTATGGGGCTGCAGTCAGCACCAGTCACGGCATTCATTTGGGCCAAAGATTGAAAGTTTTTGGGGTCTTCCACTTGACTTTTTTGTTCTATAACCCTCAGGAACAAGAAATTTCAAATGACTGCCTGACTGTGTCCCACCTCAGCAGTGATGGCGTGCTGTGAGAGACTCATTTCTTCTTGCTGCATGTTAAAGCTGTACTTGGAACTTTGTTAAGATCCAACCATGCAAAATATGATTTTTTGCCATTTTTTTTTGCCAAGTGGTCTTAAACGTCTGAAAAGCCTTAGTTTAATTTTTTTTTTAAAGAGACTCCCTTCAGGGATCTTGCAGGCTCTGGGGTCAAAATTACTTTTGAGATGATATATTTGATATTAAACATTAGCAATAAATTAAATACTGAGCATCCTTAACACAAAAATGCCTTTAACATGTTAAGTGCACTCAATGAATTCTTTCCAAATGTTAATTCATGACATCACAGTTAATTTATGACATAATAATTTATTGCATTAAGGTGTACATAGTTTGGATAGTATTTACTCGTACTATCATTGTCTACCATTAAAATTTATTTGGTGATGTGTGACAAGCAGAGGTTATATTATAACTATATGCTATATGCTATATTAATGTAATAATTAAATTTAGTAGTACATGGGAGTACAAACTTTAATTTTTAATTGTAATAAATGTACTCAGCTTGAATCAGTTAAGCAGAACATGAGCAGAGAAAAAGAAACAATTTTTTTAAGTAGCTCTATTTCCTGTTGCCTACATTATAGAGGGTGAGTTTGCCTCTAAATAGAAAATGAGTACAGTCAGGGGTTAAAGCTGAATTAGCAGATGAAGTCAATTTATTTTATTAGCACATTTAAAAAGAACAGAGGTTGACCAAAGTGAATTCAACAAGATGTAAGCAGATGTTTTTACCTGTTGTCCTGGCTGATTTCCAGCCAGGACAACCGGACTGGTATAAAGTTGGTATGAAGCTGGAATTCAGTGAATTAATCTAATATCATCAGCTTAACTTCATATTAATCTCTGCAACACAGATGTGACTAAACTCTGACCATGAGCACCGCAAACTGTGCACCAGTCACACACAGTTTAAATCCACCACAGTACAGCAAACTAACCTGTTTATGCTGCACTAAACTCCATAATATTTTTATGTAACTTTTAAATTACACAGTCAACCTCAGTTTGTTTAGCAGCATGTTTCACAATATGAAAAAACACAATGCCACATGTACAGACCCAACATGTGATTTTTAAACATGAGGAGTTCTCCAACGAGAAGACGCTATAGCACACGTTTTTGCCTCTTTCATTTATTTTTATGCCAGGTCCCCTGGTGATTATAACACAAACAGGTTTGCCTTTCACGTGTTACTGTTTAGGCTCAAATCAGTTTGATGTTTGAAGGGCTGCACTGACCTGAAATAATAACATTCCTCAAATGTTAAGCCAAATGTAACAAGCCCGTTTTGAAAATGCAAGTAGAAGGTTCAGATATTTGTTCAAAATAGAGGGAGTAAAAGTAAAAACTTCTGGTGAACAGTGTGAGAAATATGCATAAAAAAAGAAAAGAAAGAAAGAAATTAGGAACCATGCGCCTGCTGGCAACTTTCCATGAAGATGATTTTAAATTTCTAATTTTCTTTCTCTTTCTTCTCAGATATTAAGCTTCTGGATTCATTACCGATGCCAGTGCATTGTCTAGTGGGCACTCTTATGTGCAGCCACACAGTGGCACTGCTCTTCCAAATGACACATTACTCACCACTGACAGTGCCAGTTGTGGCCCCTGTGCATAGTGAATCTGAACAGCAATGGCACAATACAGGTCCTACACAATGGTACTTTAATTACGGTTAAAGAACACTTTTTATGACTTTTTTTCTGTCTCAGTTTCTCAGTGTGAACATACAGTATGGGTTACGCAAACTCGCATCTCAATTTTAAAATCTCTGCCACTTTATTAGGTATGACTGTGTCCACTGTACAGTAAGAAGCTATTTGCGGCCATCTCAGGTACACTACACTTGTTGCCTATTAAACAACTTTTTAAGCTTATTGTATTTCAAATTTGTCATTAAAATACTTTTTAAAAATACGATTGTTCTCTACAGAAATTGTCTCATGCAGTCCAAGTGAAATCTGAAGATGGTCAGAAGCCACCAGAGCAGGGTGCAGAACAATTTTGCCGTACATGAATTTAACTACAATTTTCAGTCAATGTGTAACTGTTTAAACCGTCCATAAAATTACTACTGTTAATGGTGTCAAAAGCAAGAGGCAGACCTATCTACATCGCCTCCTCATACACAAGACAGAGCCACAGAGGACGGAGATGGACACCAGATGCCTGAGGGGGTCGGTCATTATAAAGGTTTCCAAAGAGGTTATGACGGGTATGCCACTGTGGTACATGGATTGATTTTAGGAATCACCACTTCATATTTCAAAAAAATGATTGAAGCAAAAACTTGATAGAAATTAGCACTTTATACATGCTATTATTAAATAATACAATCTGTATTTAAGGACAGTTCTCAATATATGTTTGCTATATATACCTACATAACAAAATTAGCTGTAAATATGCTTAAAATGCCTGAGTGACTTAAAGCTGTCAAATTATACTGGAGCATCAGCAGTCTTTCACATGATTATTCTAGGGATATGATTGGCTGATTCTCCAAACGTGCAAACTATGCAAATCCTACTGGGAGCCACCAACACACAGAAGCTTGGTGAGCTAATGATGTGCTCAAAAAGAGATCAAGGGTGACCTCTACTGTTTAAATTCAAGATGATGCATGATGAATATGTATTTTCAGCTCAAGACGCTATCCTGTCTTCTTCTTCTTTTCCAACCCCTCCCTTGCAATCAAAGCAATCACAGTGCATACAGCAAAGTTCTTAGCAAAGTTCTTCTCTCAGGGGCATCTTTACACAGCCTGCACCTGGGGTCTTACCTGGTGTGATAGACCCCAACCTCTATGGATCTTGTGGTCAGAGCTTGTTCCTGTGCTGCCATGATTAGTGCCTCTGTGCTGTCTTTCAGTCCAGCTTTGT